CTATATATCCCTGGCACCATCCCAGCTTGACCAGGATTCCTCAAGAGTTTTTTAAGAAAGACTGCAAGAGGGCCCAGCCTGGCTGGCACGGAAAGAGTCTCAAGTCTCAAACAAAGCGTGATTTGGCTGGGGCGGGGTCTCAGGATGGAGCTAGTGAAGTTCGCTGGGCTAATTGCATCCCTTTTTAAATGTTTGCTCTATTTACTTAAATGAGATCATGTTTATGAAAACTCTTTGGAAACCATAAAATCCTACGTAAATATTCTTTAATAAAAATCTATGGGGGGTTTGTTCTTAATTTTTAAAGGGATCAACTTAGACTTATCTACAAAACAAAACACCAAAAAAAACAAAAAACTAAATTGCTTTTCATTTGTAAATGGCTCTTGATTGATTTTTATCCCCTGGGGAGCCATAGCCTCCAACATTAGAAGGGAGATTTCAAAAGACCTTCACATCTGAATGGGTGATCTATTCCCTTCCCTAGAAATGATCGCTGTCCTTGGAGATGCAAAACAAATAGGGAATAAAAGGCCAGCACAGCCACACCCTGGTAATAAAGTGGTACAGAAATATTCGGAGTCGATGGGATCACTTTAAAACACAGTAAAATTTGAGAAATTCAAACCCCAACAACTCCACACTTGAGAACATTTAAATGTGGCATGAGTTAAACTCTAGATCATCTACTAAAAAAAGAGAGAGTTTAACAAGCAAATCAATTGTGCAAATATTTAAGAAATGGTCATCTTTTCAAGAAGTCTTAGCATCATTTTAGTAATAACCCAGCTTTCTAACCTCCATTACCCATTAAAGCATAATCTGCTGGATTCCTTCTGAGAATGTAAGAATACTATTATGGTACTTAAAAGGTAATCAGAAAACTCACATTTATTGAATGCTCACTCTGAGCTAGGAACTGCGTTAAGCACATTATATACCTCAAATAACTCTTTTTTTTTAAAATATATTTTATTGATTTTTTACAGAGAGGAAGGGAGAGAGATAGAGAGTTAGAAACATCGATGAGAGAGAAACATCGACCAGCTGCCTCCTGCACATCTCCCACTGGGGATGTGCCCGCAACCTAGGTACATGCCCTTGACCGGAATCGAACCTGGGACCCTTCAGTCCGCAGGCCGACGCTCTATCCACTGAGCCAAACCGGTTTCGGCCTCAAATAACTCTTATGGAGGGCTTGATCGCTCCCATTTTACAGATGAGGGTGCTGAGGGTCAAGGGCTTTGCCCAAAGTCACCCAGTCAGAACGTAGGAGCGATGGGTGAAATCACAGGGGTAACTCGGTGATAAAGCCAGATTCTGAAAGTAGGTCTAATAGACATCGGCACCCTAATTACATTTGTCAGGGTTTAATCTGGAACACTTTTTTGTTAATGCAGCTGAGCTGCTCTCAAATTATTCCATATTAGTGAGGCTGTTCTATCACAATAAAAAGATGACTTTTATACAGCCCCACTCTGGCCAACCTCCGGCTTCCTGTCTCAATAGGTTCGAGGATGAAAGAAATTTCTGTATCTGATTTTATCAATGCACTGACGACTTTTGGGAGTCCTACACTATCATGACTGGGCTAACAGTAACTAAGATTTTACAGTGCTTGCTCTTCCATTTGCAAAGTTTTCCCCACATATGTCATCCCACCGAACCTCTGGGTTTCTCGCAGATTCTGCTAAAACCAGCAACAGATGGTGGTGACGATGCTGAGCTTGCATCGAACATGGACTAAATGGTTTGACTTAAGGGTATGCTCCACTCCTATATTTTACTTTGCCCTAAATTCATTTTTGTTTCCTATTCCCTCTACATTTCCCGGTTCCAAACAGGATATTCTGATAGCATTTCCCACCAAACCAGAAACAGGAAGCACCTGAAAAAGTCATGAGAAAAAGGCCCTTGTGCCAAACCAAAGACCAATTTTTTAAGAATTCAAAAGTCTGAGACATTTGGACGGGTGCCCACACACTTAGAGGCTTTCGGTAATTAAACCAACCTTGCTACGCTCTGAAGAGAGCACAGCGAGCCCTCACGGGACCTGCAATAAGGCCACGATTACAGAACAATGTGTGGTCTTCCTGGGTACTGTCACCTGAGTTTTCCTCATGACCCTCCCCCCTCCCCAAGAAGTAAATGCAATGGAGCCATCACAGCATCCAGTCCCACCGAGGGTCCAGCCACAGGCCTGTGGCCGCGAAGAGAGAAGCAGCGAAGAGCAGGTCTGAACAAGCATCCCACCCCTTCCGTGGTCTCTCTGCTATTCCCCAGGAAGTGAAACCCCTACCCCTGCCCTGCACCCTCCGCCATGCCCACCTGTGGACTCCCACCATTCTTCTTCTATGGGCCCCACCAGACTGCAGACTCTACACAGGTCTCCGTTTTTCCAGTCGTAAAATAAAATAATTCTGCCCGAGTGCCAACTCGAACTTGGATGCAGCGCGGGCCCTTGGGGAGAGGTACCCGGCACGGGATTCTCCACCCCACACACAGCTCTCTCACTTTTGAAACACTGTGTTCCCTCTCTTGTTCTCCCCTGTAGATGGGAAACTTCTTACTCTCTGAGACTTGGGTTTGATCTATCAGGCACTGAGCACAGTATCTAACTTAATAAGCCTAAGTGGACTCTATTCCCAATAGACAAATTAGTCACCTCATGGTGATTTAACAAACACTTGCTTGGTATAAAAAAAAAAAAATTAGCCCATAATCTATCATAATGGTAATATGCTAATTAGACCAGATGACCTTCTGGATGAGGCCAGGGTCCTGAGTGCCAGAGGGAAGCTGGTGCCAGCAGCCGGGGGAAAGAAGGCCTACTCCTGCACGAATTTCGTGCATCAGGCCTCTAGTATGGTATGTTAGCATACGAATACTTAGCATGTAGTACATGCCAGGCAGTGTTCTAAGAACTGACAAATATTAACTCAATCCTCTTCACAGCCCTTTGAGGGGGGCTATGCGCAAAGACGTTAAATAACTCAACTGAAGTCACACCATTAACAAGGGCCATTGAACTCTGGCAGCCAGGTCCGAGCCTGTGCTCTTGGCCACCAGACTACTCTCCATTGTGTGGCATCTGAATAACAGAATGGAAAGAAAAACTTGGCCTTGAGGAAGCCACACCACATCTCTAGACCTCAACAAAGACGGGCTGGCCTAGGTGATATGTGAAGGGTCACGTCAAACCCTACCGTACTTCCGTTGTTCTTAATCATGATGCGATCCCCGCCCAGTGAACAGAGAGCCTGCGTCACCGAATTTTTCCACATTAAGAGGAAATAATGGTTGCCTTCAGAGCCAATGTAGGTTTAGTGTAGACCACAACACAGGGAGGAAGATCCCCAAAACCAACAGAGCACAGGCAAGAGCCCTAACTGAGGTCTGCATGCCCCACCCTGTCGTTCTAGTCCTCTAGAGAAATCTGAGCACCTGCCACCCCCGGCCTCTTATGGACCAAGAACCACAGAAATGGTTTGGTTCAATCCCGTTGTTCTAAAAGGCTGCGCTTCTACCTCAACAGTCCCCACCCCAACCCCACCCTCTTACTGCTCCCGGTCCTCCTTCCCCCTGGACACACACACACACACACACACACACACACACTTCCATGTCCTAACTCATTCTTTGATCCTGGAGGAATACACTGGGCAGGCAGAATACAGCTTTGACCCGTAGTTTATGTATTTATACTACCTATCCCTCCCTCTTGACTGATTACAGTATCATCTATATTTCAGATGAAGTTTTTCTTCGATGGGGGCAATACAGCGACAAGCAGGGTCAGAGGTCAATGTCCCTGCGTGGCCCCGCCAGCTGAGCAAATGCTAACACTGGGGAGAAGGCTCGTCCTCAGGGAAGGAGAGAGCCCGTGGCCCCCGCAGGGGCCCTGCCAGCTGCTCTGTGGGGCCATGTCACCGAACACCCTGCTAGGGCCCCCTGAGTCCCCGTCAGGGCCTGGAGGGTCCTCCCTGAGGCAGGAAAGTGCAGGTGTCTAGCCAGCGTTTCTCAGCACCCTCTTTGGTGGCCACAGAATTTGAAACCTGGGAAAACCCAGGGAGGCCCAAAGGAATGAGGACACTGCAGGCGAGTCGAGACTTCTATCCAAACAAACAAATCAGGGGGCGAATTAAAATACAACAGCCAGCCTTAGAGGGGAAACGGGTTCTAGCTCACTCAGAATCGGGCTCAGAAAACGTGAGTGTGCAAGCTACACAACGGGAGAAAATGACAGCCTTTTCTGAATCCCTAAAGCCAAATTCAACTCAACTAAAGAATAACTGGCTCCATGGTCCCCCGGGCCCAGCCGTTGGAAGATGCTAAGCAGGGAGCCTGAGGAAACACATTTTCCTTCCCAGACCCCCCAGCGGCCCCTGGGGAGCAGCTCTAACACTGGGCTGAGGGCGCACCCAATGCTCAGGCCTCCGACAGGGTGCACGGACCAGACAAGAGGGAAGTCAGACTTCTGATGTTATGAAACTGAATCCTGGGAAATCTCTGTCCCCTGCCTCCGGGCATTTGTCCATGGGTGTGGCCAGGAGGACCTCAGGAGCCTCACGTCCATCCGGGAGCTCCAGGGAACTGTGGAGACTCTCTGAGCCAACCTCTGAATTTTCAGGTGAGGAAACGGAGGCCCAGAGACAGAAAGCAAGTTCCCCAAGGTCACACAGCATCTGGCAGGACCAGGAAACCAAGAGTTCTATCCGGCGCCTTGGCTGGGACTGGGTGAATTTTGATCTCAGAGACTTCATGAAGCATGGCAAGCACCGGGGGCTCTGGGGCAGAGATGGGCAAGGCTGGGCAGGGCCCAGAACCGTGACCCCCTGCCCACCCTCCTCATTACCTGGGCAGGACCAAGAGGCCACCCGGGGACACGGTGCTGCCCTCCTGTTAGAGACTGGAAAGCTGGGGGAAGTGCTGGGTGGGGGCGGGGGGGTTGTTTAGGGCCCCACATGGGGAGAGGGCGCGGGAGAGCCCAGAGCGCTCACCTTCATAGCAAGGGATCAGCGTCCTGCCTTTGGCCTGGAGGTTGGACGGGATGATGTAACAGAAGCCGTGGGGCAGGATGTGGTCTGTTTCGTAGAAGATGTTCTTCCAGCGGTGGGCACAGGCCTAAAGGACAGAGAGGGGTTCAGAGCAGGGAAGGGACTCCCTGGAGCCTGGTAGTCCGTCAGATCGCTCTAGGAAACACCCTGCCCGCCAGCCTCTCCACGCTTCATCCCTTCAGGCCGCCTGCCAGCGGGACCCCGGACAAGGCCGCTCTCTGCCCAAAGGCGAAGAGGACACACTCAGGGGGACTGCACACCCGAGTTCGGCCACACAGGCCTCTTGCCTTATGACATGAAACTACGTAAGACGATCTCGTTATTCCCTGTACCACAAGCCACCCTCGTCCTCCCCGCGTGGTACTGTTTCGTACCCATAGCCCGTTTCTCAATAGCCTGAAACGATACAGGGCAAGGAGCTATAAACATGTATCGCTAAGCAGATCATCACTCTATTCCACTTGGTAATTGATTTTTTTTTTTTTTGTATTTTAGTTCTGATTCAATGCTGATGGCTTGCAAACTTGAATCCCTCATCATCTTCGAATTACCCAGTAAATCCGCTACATTTTAGTTTATGGATTGTGTAGAGCCGTTGGCAGCGAGGGCTTGGCCCGTCTTACTGTGTTTCTGGGTCGGAGGGTCCGTGGAGAGAGGCGGATGTTTACGGAGGAGCACGCCGGCTCTCACCGGGAGGGACTTGCTGCCCTAAGTGTCTAGTTTATTGCCCCCTCGTGTTTTTTTAAGAACCGTAAACTGTTTACGGAGGGATCTTAGAAAATTCCTCGAAGATCCAAACACTGCATTTCCCAGTAAACGGAACGAAAATTAAGGCATTCTGTTGAGGTCAGACAGCCAAGGGTCAAAGGCAGTACGCGTGCAGGAAAAGTGTCTCCGAATATAAATTATAAAAAGAAAAGACTGTTTAGCCCCGATTATCATTATATATACACACATGTCAGTCTGACCCCAACATTTGAAAAAAGTCCTAGACTGTCTCCAAAGCATTAAGAACTCCATCAATCTCTCCAAACGGGCTCCGCTGTGAGGAAGGCGGGGGCAGAGGGAGGGAAGAGGAAAGAGCATTCTCTGCAAACAGCAGACCCATTCGGACCCACGTAATCCTAGCCAAGGGGAGGAGGAGCTGGCATCCCATCTTACGATCTGACACATCTGAAATACAAAGATTGTCTTTCCTCCCAGAAGAATAAAAGGAAGAAGATGAGCATTTTAATTCAAAGGCCTTTTTTAACAGTGCATCCTTGCCGGGTGGGGGGAGTGTTGGGGAATGGGGGAGTTACTGAGCTTCTACGGGGGGCTCAGCCACAAAGACACCTAAGCCCCCACCTCTTGCACATGCATTTGTGATACACAGACGGCCAGATTTTGGCCAGGCCCTCAGGTCTACCCCTGGATCGCTGAGAACCATGGCTGAGGGGAACAGGGCCATGATGCCATAGACCCCCCACACAGACATCCCCCAACCCCCTCCAGGGGATGAAGGAGTGGCCTCGGGGGCATGGGGAAGGGGCCTCTGGGATGCGGGGCAAGTCCTTCTGAGAATGCCAAGTGAAAATGCATCAAGGTGTGCACGGATTATTGGTGCACTTTCCTGCACGTGTGTTAGAGCTCAATAGAATAAGTTCACGTAAAAAAATCAGGAAACGGAACAACAGAATTAAAAGAAAAAAATAGCCACCCTGTGGCTTTGGGGGAAAAAAAGAAAGATGGCTGCCCTGACGTTTGGGAAGGAAACGGCAAAGAGATAGAGCCGGAGAGCGTGCTTCCACCCAGAAGCCATCTACACGCTTCTGGTGTGTTGGCTGAGCCCCAGAGACTCATGGGAAGCAGACGCCAGCCGGGCACTCTCTGAGCTGCCTCCCAGGCCCAGGAGGAGCGTCGGTGCCTGGGCTGCGTGTGTTGGCGGCTGTGGCAGAAGGGGATTTCGTTCCCTGGGTCTCAAACTGCCATCTGCACCCCGAGTCCGGGGGAGGGTGTGGGGCGGGAAGGGGCTTGCCTCTGATCCCCAGGCTGTGGTCACACCCGGTACCACGCGTCCCTGGGGAAAAACTGGCAAGGACCACAACACCTGTGAGCGGAGCCTGGCAGATACTAAGCCAAGGGCAGCCCGGCAGCCCAGCCCAACATCCAAGGCCTTGCCAGGGCTGGTCCATGGGTCAGAAAATGCCACTTCTCATGGAGACACTGGGCTCCCTGTCACAGCTTCCAAACTCCCACGTGTTCTTTACTTTGAAATCAGCACTGATGCCATTACACACACACACACACACACACACACACACACACACACCAGCTCTCCCTCCTCAAACCCAACCTCAGAATCCGATATTGTGCTCCTTGACATGGGTGTCAGGCCCACACCCCCAAGTACCACCTGAGTTCTCCAAACGTGTTTGAATAAGACATAGCTCCCTGATTCCCATTTTAAGATAAGTACTTGCCTCCAAGAAAGCTTTGGCAGGTAGACTTGAGACATTAAAGAACAGTCATCAACGTGAGAGAGACATGGGTTGGTTGCCTCCCGCACGGACCCCAACCGGGGCCAGCGATCAAGCCTGCAACAGAGGTACGTGCCCTTGACAGGAATCAAACCCAGGAGCCTTCAGTCCCCGGGCTGATGCTCTATCCACTGAGCCAAGCTGGCTAAGGCTTATGTTGTGTTTTTGACAAGAAAAGCCACAAGGAAAAGGCTGCTACAGATGCCCCGCTCCTTCCTCCGCACCCGCGTGCAGTGGCTGACTGGATGGGTGGTGCGGTCCTTGTGTCAAACATGAGAGGAACAGCTCCGCATGCAATGAATCAGATGGGCTGTCATGGCACAAGGACCACAAATGCCCCAGGTCTGCCTTCACAGCTTCCTGTGCTAAATCGTCCCCCAGATCCTCACTGCTGTGCCTGCCCCTTCCCGATACTGACTTGCCATAACGCACATGCCTCTGGCAACAAGCTCCAGCCCCACGGAGCTTATCCTTCCGTGGGGAGAGGGGATGCCATCACAGGAGCAACCTCCGGCGGTGGGCTCCGGGCTCCCTAGAGCATCGTGTGCCTGTGCCATCCGGCCGTGCCTCCTCTGTCGGAATCTCGACCTCTGGCCACCCGGACTTCAGATGGGTCAGCTTCTCCCTCCCTCCCATGGGAAGGCGACAAGCTTTCTGGCCCTCCTGGGGCCCAGTGGTCCAGCCAGGGTCAGGCCACTGGGGCTGGAGGAATGTAGAGGCTGGGAGAGGGTCCAAGGCAGCTTGTGACAGTGATGAAAGGACTGGAAACCAAGACAAACAGTGGGGTTGGGGACCCTCCGCAGGAGCTACGATGCTTTCTGGTGGGGAGGCCTTGCGATGCTGGCGACAGCATCCAGCTGCTCCCCGCTCCCCGCCAGGGGCTGACGGGGTGGGGGGTGAGGGGGATGCGTAACTTGTGCTGAGAAGGAAGGCGGGATGCAGATGAATGGCCTCTGCCATGGAGAAGTTTAACACACGAGTGGGCTCCAGGAGAGAGGATGGAAACATTTTGCCTAGATCCTGAAGGAGAACCTGCTTCCCCTGTGATCAGATATATGTAAAACCCCATTTACAGCTTGTGGCCCAAAGGAAGCCCTCAATAAGTGGCAGCTAGAGTTATTTTCCCCTCTTGATATTATGCTTCTATAACAAAGAGCATTGGCCGTGGCCAGGTAGCACAGTTGGTTAGAGCATCCGCCCAACATTCCAAGGTTGCAGGTTCGATCCCTGGTCAGGGCACATATAAGAATCAACCAAAGAATGCATAATTAAGTGGAACAACCAATCAATGTTTCTCTCTCTCTCTCTCAAATCAATAAAATAAAAATTTTAAAAGTAATAACATGTATTTCATCCTATATAATAAAAGGGTAATATGCAAATTGTCCCCTCGACTGGGAGTTGGACAAGAGTTCAACCAGGGGACGGAACCAGACCACCAACCATCCAGTGCCCCTCCCCCTGACCGCCACCCCCCTCCCCCCGCCGATCAGGGGCGGGGCCGGGCCGCCAACCTCCTGTATCCCCATCCCCGAGCCGGACTGGCCCATTCGGCCCAGATCGGGGTGGGCTGGCCGGACCCCACCTGTGCACAAATTTGTGCACCAGGCCTCTAGTATAAATATAATACCAGGCAGGAATAAAGAAGAATGAACACCTGATACACATAACACGGATTAATCTCAGAAGTATTATTTTGAGTGAAAGGGGCCTTACACAAAAGAGTGCACACTGTGGGGTTCCATTGGTACAAAGTTGTAGAAAAAGCAAAAGTAACCCACGGTACCACCGTGCATAACAGTGGCTGCCTCGGGCGGGCGGGAAGCTGCCTAGAAGGGAACAGGAGAGAACTCTTTGGAAGGACAGAAACAGTGTGTATTGTGCTGTGTGTGGGGGGGGGGGTGTTACACGAGTGTGCACGACTGTCAAAACCCAAACTGTAATCTTAAGATCTGTGCATTTTATGTAAATTTAACTTCAACTTTAAAAGACTCGCACAAATATTTGTGAACAAGATTTACAAAGTACTTTTCCCATACATTTTATTTATGTTTCCACTGCCACCTCTCTGCACCCTGGGACAGACATTATTTATCTGACAGATGGAGATCAGTCATTTGTCCAAACAGCAGTCCAGTTTAGGCAACCTCAGAGCCAAGCCCTTGTCACCATGCCATCCAGCTTTCCTAAGAGATCAAAGTCACTCACGCTCAGAGTGCCAGCCCTCCCTGCAGCACCCCCTCCCCCCCCGCCCAGGAAGCCTTACCAGAACTCGGCCATCGGCCTTGGGCTGCCGGGCCAGGCTCACCCCCATCCACTCATCATCCCGGTCTTCCCGGCAGGTCTTTCCGCAGGATGTTCCTCGATGGTTCCCTGGAGGGAGAAGAGAAAAACCAGTCCTGGGAGAGGGAAAGATGGTCTGCTGGCTGCTCTTCCAAGGGTAGTCTGCCCCTCTCCCCCACATGTCTGTAATCAGCTCAGGAGGAAATAAGGACGCACAATGAAGTATAAAATCAACTCCATGACTATGCACACTGTGTGATTCAGCCAACGTTGTTCTCATAGCAAGACGTTCTTGATGGAGGCGGTGCTCTGGCCTGTGCTCTGAAGCAAGCTCCTTAGTGTGTTAGGCACCAGTAATGAGCAGCAAGCCAACCAGGCATTGTGAGTGGCACCAAGGACACCTCTCCTTTCTGCTAAGGAGAATCATGGCAACGCTTCATTTAGAAATACTAACCCTCAGAAGCTCTGGATGGGAAAGGACTTTGGAGAAAGTGAGGACTTGGAGTTATAATAAAACTAGAGGCCTGGTGCATGAAATTTGTGCATTGGTGGGGGGGGGGGGTCCCTCAGCCCAGCCTGCACCCTCTCCAATCTGGGACCCCTTGGGGGATGTCCATCTCGCAATCTGGAACCGCTGGCTCCTAACCGCTTGCCTGCCTGCCTGATCACCCCTAACCACTCTACCTGCTGGCCTGATCCCCTAACTGCTCCCCTGCCAGCCTGATCACCCCCTAACTGCTCCCCTGCCAGCCTGATCACTCCCTAACTGCTCCCCTGCCAGCCTGATCATCCCTAACTGCCCTTCCCTGCTGGCCTGATCACCCCTAACTGCCTCTGCCTCGGCCCCTGCCACCGTGGCTTTGTCCAGAAGGATGTCCGGAAGATGTCCAGTCTAATTAGCATATTACCCTTTTATTAGTATAGATAACTCCTACTTACTGAGTGCCTACTGAGTGCCAAGTAAAATTCTGGATATCACCTCTATTATCTCACAATCTTCTCAAGGTAATACTGTGAGGTAGGAAGGTATCTTAGTCCTAGTGAGGAAACTGAGGCCAAAGAGGCTACGGGACATTCCCAATAAGTCCCTACTAGTAACTGGCAGAGCTGAGCTCTGAACCCAGGCCGATCCGTCTGATTCCACCGGATCCAAGTGAGCTTTTAAAAATATCCGTTGAGCATATCTTTCCCTACTTAAAACATAAACCCTAAAATTGATTTCAATGGCCTCTCCTTCATACACAGGATAACACCCTAACCCCTTCCCCCAGCCTGCTGGGCCCTGTGTGAGCAGCCCCCGCCTACCTTGCCGAGCTCCTCCGCCTCCCCTCTCTCCTGCTCCCCACTCCAGCCACACCACCCCCACTCTGTACCTGAACACGGCACATGCTCTCCTCTGCTTGGAGGTTCTGCCTCCCCACCTGCCCAGCTGACTGCTGTGCATCTTTCCCATCAGGTGTAGATCAAACACCACCTTCCCTCTGGTCTTCTTGCTCTCAAGCCTTATTTTTTTAATGTCTCTTTTGCCCACTAATCTGTAAGGATGACAGGATCTTTGTTTTGTTCACTAGTATATCCTGGTGCTTAGAAAGTAATAGGTACTCCCTACATGATGGAAGGAAGGAAGGAAGGAAGGAAGGAAGGAAGGAAGGAAGGAAGGAAGGAAGGAAGGCCAGCCGCCTGGGAAGAAAGAGGGAAGAATGAGGGTACAGAGCCCATTTCCACTTTGGCATGGATGTCACCCACCTCGAGCCATATCCAGTTCAGTGCATCTCCGGTCGGGGTTGGTATGGATGCGGCACTTAAACACAGCCCCCGGGGACTTCACTGACGCGCTGTACTTGGACTCGGCCTTCGGTGCGCCCACAAGGATCCTGCACATCGAGAACAAAGGGCGTTCTGTCACAACCCAGCACCAGGAAAGAAGAGGCTGATGGTTAAATTCAATCCAGTCACAGGCGGGCGGTCTGAATGTTGACTGGAAAACCATACCCAGCATTGTACTGTGCTGGCGGGGCCAGGAGGGAGGGCCTCCCACAGAGAGCCCGGTGGACTGTCTCCAGGCACATTTAGAGCATACGTTTGGTTGGAAACACATATAACCAACAAACAATGCTTATCCAGAATCTATTAAGAACTCGTACAAGTTGAGAAGGAAAATACAGGTATCCAATACCATAATAAGCCAAAGACTTGAATAAATACTTGATGGAAGACCATAACCAACTGGCCAATAAACACATTAAAAGGTGCTCAACTATATTTGTTACCAGAGAAATAACGAATGAGCTACCACTTCACACCTACGAGGAGGCTAAAACCAAAAAGACCGAAAATGCCAAGTGCTGGCAAGGAGTTGGAGCAACGGAAACCCTCCTACACTGCTGGTGGGAGTGTAAATTGTTACAGCCACGTCGGAGAAAAATTCAACAGTTTCTAATAACGCCAAACATGTGCCTAGCCTAGGACCCAGTCATACCATGTCTAGGAACATGCCCAACGGAAATGCAGGCACACGCCTACCAGGAGACAGGTACAAACGTGTTCACGGCTCAATATGTAATGGCCAAAATCGAAGAAACCCACAGGTCCATCAATGCTAGAACGGATAAGTTATGGTAGAGAAGTACAACAGAACTCTATACAGCCACGAAAATCAGTGAACATCATTCAACCACAGCCACACGGATAAATCTTATATAACATGGAACAAAATGTGTCAGGGACTACAGTGTACTCACTGACTCCGTTTACCTGAAGTTCAAAGTAGCTGAAGTATAACTGTGGTGTTAGAGATCAGGATAATGGCTACCTCGGGGGAGGAGCGAGGTGGGGGGACTGTAGTGAGGGAGGCGGGGCTTGCTGTGTGCTCATGACCTTCTACTTTGCAACCTGAGCAGTGTTCACGCAAATTTACGATCATTCATTAGATTGTATATATGACATGGTCGCTCTCCCGGATGTATTAGATTTAAAAAATAATGACATGAATAAATAAGATACGTAGCCATACCATTTCTCTTCTGCGTTCCCCTCTCCCTCCCCACCACACACAACAGGCACATTTACGGGGACATAGGGAAGACGTGGGCATAGCGTAGAATTACACATGCATCCAACTCAAACCAGAGATGGCGTCATCTCTGGGCAAGAATGAAGCTGTATGTCCTTCATCTTGAACCAAAAGCTGCCTTGGGAAGGGCCGACCCCTGCAGAGCCCGTCCCTGCTGGAGGAAAAGGCAAGACATGCCAAGAAGACAGAAAAGACACATTTGGGCCTGTGTGGGCAGAGAACACGGGGGAACAGCAGCCAGTTCCTCTCCAGATGTTACGAAAACAATTATGACCTACAGTTTTATGCATTGTTTCCGGAAAGCGGTCAGCCAAAGAGCGGGGGCAAAGAAGACCAAACAGCAGCAATCAGGTACAGCCTGTGCTGAGCTACGAGCCACTTGGAAAAGAACTTGTATGATGAGACTGTAAACAAAACCCACGCTGACGTTCAAGGAGCAGACAATGCTAAGCCGCTCCTTGAGGCGAACTCGAGCTGCTCCGTATCTCTGGCAGCCTGGAAAGGGGGTGCAATTTCCCCCCGAAAGGTACTGGGCACATTGTGAAATTGCTCATCTCCGCTTACCTGGGAACAGAAAGCATTATCCATTAGGTCATCTGTGGAAAAGGCTAGTCGAGTAGAGGGAAGAATGACCCCAGACAGCCTCCCTATGGACCCAGCTCCCCTCACTGTGTCCGGAAAGCCCCCTTCATCTTGAGGTGTCGGACGCTCAGGCTTCACCCCCACCCTGGCCTCAAATGGTGCTGCTCCCCCCACCGACACCCCAGATGAGCAACAGAAGTCGGAGACCCTCAGACGGGCCTTCAGCAAGGCGGGCAGACATCACCAAGGACAGCCACGCTAACAGACTCAGACCCATGCTGTCAGGTTCATGGGAAGGCATGTGGGTCTCATCTTCATTGTCCCTGCCCCGACCCCTCAATATCCAGGGGGTGAAGGACCTCTGGGGATGCAAGGAGCCAGGGAGACCACCCCCCGCCTCCCGGAGCACTTCCTTCAGGATCAGCCCAGGACAGACTGTATTCGATTCTGTGAGGAATCAAGTCACACCCTGCTGGGGTGTGATGGGAGCCAGGCCCTCAATAGGGAGGGCACCCCAGCTGCCCCCCGGGCCCTCCATAACACCTCGGAGAGCTGCCCCTCCCGCTCACCAGGGTGGGCCACAGCAGCCGAAGCTCCGCGCGGAAGCAGGGCTGGAACCCACAGCCCTCGGAAATCACAGCAGGCGTGTTCCCAAACAGACCACCCGCCTCTGTCACCGCGCACGGGCCGTCTGGCCGGCTCTCGGCTGCTCTAACGCAAATGCACGATGACACACCAAATGCAACTCCAGGGAGAAGGTGGCCACGTGTAGGGATCAATCCCCCACCCCACCGCCCCCACCCCCGGCTTCTGGGGCTGAGCTTAGAGCCACCAGCGCCAGGCAAGGGCTGCTCTCCATTAGGCCGGTCATGTTTTCACAGGTGAGAAGAATTAGCGGGTGGACCCATCCAAGCAGCTGAAACACCCACGCCTTTCCACGCGTCAGCCCGTCGGAGCTGGGCAACATACCGCGCCTCCTCCACTCGGAAACCGCAGGGGGACAGGGCTGGGTCTAAAAATTCCTACCAACTCCAAGTGTACATTAGCCCCGCCGATAAACGCCACTTGCAATTCATTTGGTAAAAATGACAAAAATTAAACACGGGGCGGGCTGCTTCTCGGGCGCATCCCCCCAGATGGCATGGGAACCCTGCACATTTCAGACGGTGCCTCTGCTCCAAATGTGCAGACCGAATGAGACCGGCAGGTTACCCGAGCAGGACGGGACCCTGGGGAGCACGATCCCAGGCACTGGCTCTCAGCCTGGATCGGAGGCTGAGAGGGGCAACATTTATATGGGACTCTAAAGGGGAGAAAGGACCGGCTGAATTATTTTTCCCTTCTAATCCAGTGGTTCTCAACCTTCTGGCCCTTTAAATACAGTTCCTCATGTTGTGACCCAACCATAAAATGATTTTCGTTGCTACTTCATAACTGTCATGTTGCTCCTGTTATGAATCGTCATGTAAATATCTGATATGCAGGATGGTCTTAGGCGACCCCTGGGAAAGGGTCGTTCGACCGCCAAAGGGGTCGCGACCCACAGGTTGAGAACCACTGTTCTAATCCCAAGGTACTTGATGGTTCTAACAATAGCTGATCAAGAGCACTGAGCCCGGTGTGGCTCAGCGGTCGAGCACTGACCTACGAACCAGGAGGTCACTGTTCGATTCCTAGTCAGGGAACATGCCAGGGTTGCGGGCTCAATCTCCAGTAGGGGGCATGCGGAAGGCAGCCCTTCAATGATTCCCTCTCATCATTGATGTTTCTATCTCTCTCCCCCTTACCCTTCCTCTCTGCAATCAATACAAAATTTATTTAAAAATAAATAAAATTAAATGTGTGTGTGTTTTTTTTTTAAAGCACTGATAATAACCCTCTGGTTCAAACCCTTAATCTGCTGGTCAGATGAGAACATTTTTCCCAAGTCCCGTGTCATGGAAAATGAAGCAAGAGATCGGGAGCGTGTGCACGCACACGTGTGCGCCCAGCTCACAGGGGTGGCACGGTGGAGCACGAGCTTGTATCTCTGTGTTTACAGAACATCGTGGCTTCCTCCGCCTGGCGCTGCTCTTTACCTAGGCCGCCGGCCAGCAAGGCTGCGGCGGCAGGCCAGCCGATGAGCTTGTCTTTTCTGAAGTTAGTTCAGCTGGCTACTGGCCAGGCCGATCCCAGGAGATAGAGCGCGCGCAACGGCCCAGGGTTCAGGACAAGCCACTGAGAAGATGCCATCTGCTTTTTCTCATTATTCTACGTTACAAAGAGACATCCCAGATATCTCCAGCATCCCCCCGAACCCTCCTTGTGACTCCTGACAAGACAATAAGGCGTTTCTTTCCTTTGTACGGTTACCATACAAAAGGGCCGGAGTGTCCCCCACCCATGAATAAATCATCGGGCTGATTCTGACCTTTGCTCTCGAGACTCCCAGTGTGGTCCCCCGGCCAGCAGCACGGAGAACATCTGGGAGCTTGATGGAAATGCAGACCCAGGCCCGCTTCATCGGAACACGCATTCGAACAGGCTCTCCCTGTGATTTCCAGCCTGAGAAGTGCTATGTCACCGCCCACCCCGACGACAAATAATCCTGTCCATTTGGAGCCAGTATGAACAGATGACCCTTGAGAAGCGAGGCTTTCCTCCTCTGCCATTCCCCGTTAAAGATGCACTCCAACCTCAAAGGCATTTTGGTCCTCTCGTTAACTCAGACGTCTACATCTCTAATTACGAGGACAACCGGCATGTGTCGGGCACGTGCGGTGCGCAGGTGCTGGGCGAGGCTCCTGATGGCAGAATCGCACTGAAGCTTCACAGCGACCCTATGGGAGGCACTCACATTCTCCCCATTGCACAGATGGAGAAGCAGGTGGCCAGAGGCGGTCCCGGGACTTGCCCAAGCCCACCAAGCGTGGTAAGATGCCAGGCTGTAGCACGTGCCCTAGCAGTGCCCCCTGCCCGATTCTGCCCATCCCACATCAGCCAGGAGGAGGAAAGGGGGACCAACAGGTGCCAAGTGCCCCCTGCAGTGCCCGCTGCTCACCCCGGTGACCTGCCTGAAAAAGCCCAGGTGAGGCCCACAGGTGAGAACTTTGATGGGGAAGCTTTTTCATGCCCAAGGGCAGACTGGCGTGGGAACAGAAAGAAGGCTTTCTCTTCCCCATCAGGCTGAACTTCCAGCACCTTCTCTTGCTTTTCTAAAACACGTACATCACTGGCGTGGTGCTGCC